AATCTAAGAAAGTTTTTTGAAGAAAATCGTTTTCCTTTATTGTGTTCACTTCTACCAGAAAAGCGTCTTTCTTTTCACAATTTTCCTAATATGAAAAAAAAATCCTCAATTATCATTCACTTGTTTTGTTGGATAGAGAATTTAAAACACACTTTGCTATTATTAAAATACTAATTGCCTGACCATAAAATTGCATAGAGAATAAGCAGTTGAGAATTATGCACTGTTGCAACTACTATTGAAATAACGACCATTATTGAAATAATTGTATCAATAGTGGTTGAGGGTGCATTTCAATAGCAAACATAGTGAGTAACCACCATTGAAATACAACCGCTATTGAAATAATTATATCAGTAGTAGTTGAGGATGCATTTCAATAGCAAACAAAGCTTATAACCACTATTGAAATACAACCACTATTGATATATTTTTTCATTAGTAGTTGAGATCGCATTTCAATAACAAACATAGTTCTATAGTCACCACTATTGAAATCCGACTACTTTTGAAATAATTATTTCAATAGTTTGTAAGATTCATTTCAATTACAAACATAAATTGCAACCACTATTTAAATAATGTTCACTTTTAAAATTAAGATTTCAATATGGATAAAATTAGTGATTTTGATAGTGTTTTCAACGATGAATTCAATATATATTGAAATAATTATTTCAAACGTTGCTGACGCGGTGAAACTTTTCTTTCAATACTGGTAGTATATTTCAATAATGGTTGAAATCTATGGTTACCATATTTAAATGCACTCTCAACCACTATTAAATTATTATTTCAGTAGTGCTCATATTTCAATAGCGGTTGAAACATATGGTTATTATATAGAAGTGCACTCTCATCCACTATTGAAATGATAATTTCAGTAGTGGTTGTATTTCAATAGTGGTTGCAACTTATGATTATTATATCGAAATGTACTCTCAGCCACTATTGAAATAATTATTTCAATAGCGGTCGTATTTCAATAGGGGCTACTAACTATGTTTGTTTTTGAAATGCATTCTTAACCACTATTGATATAAATTTTTCAATAGTAGTCGTATTTCAATAGTGGCTACTAACTACTTTTGCTATTGAAATGTACTCTCAACCACTATTGATATAATTACTTCAAAAGTGGTCGTTATTTCAATAGTGGTTGCAACAATGCACTATTAAGTTTGATAACTGAAATTTTTAAGAAAACACTCATTAGTTAAAAAGAGTTTCAATAAACTTATAATTTCTTAATTAATGATTAAATAATAATTAATTACTAAATGTTTTGAACACTTCAAGATATCACCGTTACACCAAAGTTTTAAAATTAACAATTAACTAGTGTTTATCCGATAATTCCAAATTTATACCGTGATGCATTGTAGATACATGTGAGTTTAGCTGGGAAAGTGCGGAACAATGGAAACTAATTGAAAACAAATTGAGGTATTTCTGAAACGTTTTTTCTCAAAAATTTTTGATGTTTTAATTATATTTGAAATATTTTTACAACATTTTAGATATATTTTTAAAGATATGGTATATATATTTTAACAATATTTAATTCCGGTACATGTTTTTACAATATGATAGTCATATTCCCAACCCAAAAGGTTTTACATGTTTTTAAAATATGTAATACAAATGTTATATACATGTATGTTTTATGATATGAGTTATGCAAATATGTTAAGGTTACAGCCAAATATTTTTCATTGCCTATAAGATATGACGTAATAGTAAGGTATATGACGTGAACTTTAGAGATGACAATTTAAAAAAAAAAAGATATATAAGTATGATTTGAAGTTGCAAAAATGAATCAAAATAGCAGAAGCAAAATATAACCGGTATCTGGGTCTAGGTATTTATAATAGGGGTTATATACGATAACTGTGACGTCATAACAGTTGATCAATATTAGCAGAGTGACAGTGAAACGTTACGACAATTCATGTCAACAAAACACATCAAATAGGAGTTTAAAAACATTTAGAATGAATATCATTAGTGATTCATATGAGAATAAAGCTAATGAATAAGGTATGTCAATATCATTCTACAATTTCTTCGTACAACAACAGCAGACAGTGTATTTACTTGCTGATTAGCCTTTCCTCTTTCGTCGTTCATGTAACAAAAAAGCTGAAAAAGTTTAACAGTACCCAACTTACTTTGAAACTTAATTTTTGTTTCTCTCTAACGTTTTTTATTTTTTTTTTGTTTTTGGATAGTGCTACTAGAATCGTATGGTTAACAATAATCAGTATAATTTTTCGTTCTATGATCAAAATGTTAAATTTTTGGAAAGTATTTGTCCGAAAGTTTTTAATAATCATTTCTTTGATAGAACAGTCGAATTCTATTTCCACTTTTCTAAATACTAAATGTTTTACATAACTATAAATACCAATTGAAATTGATTATCCCTGTGTAGCACAGTTAAGGTTACAATTAGGAGAGGGGCCTAATTTGTACGGGAAATGTTTACTATGACGTCAATCATAATATAAGGTCTTCGAAATATCACAAAATGAAAATATTTCGTATTTCAAACAGCTGGATAGCTGTAAAGTGTATACTGCAGACAAATTTACTATTTCATGCAGTTTTTTCGTTTGTTAAATCCCACACAACAACATATAATCCCACACAGCATCATATAAACGAAGTATCGATTGCAATGCACTTGTCAATGTGACCTCATCACGAAGTTTTTACACAGTGAGAGGCTGATCAAGTCACATTTTGTACAATAAAAATGTCTTTTGTTCTCAAATAAAATACAATTTGCAGTAAAATGAAAAGCCGTTAACTTAAATGCTATGTCTATTTCAGTATTTTAATTATAAACTGTACGTGCATTCTCCAGACAAGCGATACTATCGTGTGTTTGTATGCATATTCATTGAAAAAGTAACGGAATGGCCCTAACAAATCGATTTATTGCAAAATTTTACCCATAAACTCAAGAAGCATTAAGATATTTGAAAATTGCTTTGAACCTCTTGAAATCTGGCAAATAAATTAATTATAGCTATATTTAATGTAGTTGACCAGCAAAATATTCAACCAGCCGTCCAACAAATTAAAATTTACCAATTAACAAAGGGAATCTATGTAAGTTTGCAGCAATTTTTCAAAAACTACATATAATGTTAAAAAGGATAATAAAATAAACTAAAATTTATAACTTAGTTATGCCCTTGCAATATTGAAATTTATATATGCAGATGACCTCTAAACTGCAAGTATAATTGCCAATCTCACGTGACGTTTACATCACATGACAAGTTTAAATCAAAAATCTAAATGTCCCCGACATGTAGATTTAAAGCACATTACATTTCTTTTAATATCAGTAAACTCCTAAAAAAGAATCGGGCATCCTAATTAAGAATGTATATGTATTTTTTTATTTTAAAAAATCCATGATATTTCCATTTGTAATCTTAAGTGTGCTGCGTGGGGTAGTGTTTTCTTATTATAGGCGGCACGTGGTGGCCTCGAGGTGTTGTAGTAACTAAATTTAAGTTCAATTGAAGTCTCTAGAATGCATTATGATGTTTTATTCATGACTTTTCCGGTATATCAAAGTTACATGTTAATGAAAAAGCGTTAATTAATCGAAGTCTGATCCGTGTGCTGCCTTAACAAACCTTTTTACAATATGTTAATAATAAAAAAAACATATTATACATATTTTTCTAAAATATTTCATATGGTTTAACAATATAAAATGTGTACCTTTGCATCGATCCAGGAGCTTGTGGTTTTATTGAAAAGATAACAATGACCATCAAAAGGCAGCCAACCACCAGGGCAAACTGAAAAATATTTGATAAAAAAATGTTCTTCAACGGAAAAATACTACAAAAAAAACCAAAACTCAAAATAAAATATAAATTCTTGAAATAAAACTATGTTATCCAATTTCATTTTCCTTATATAAACACGATTTAACAATCAAAGGTGATTAAAATTAGACTTAGTCTATAAGAAACACATGAAAGCTACAGGGTTAACGTTCTTCACTGTTTAACTTTTAATTAGATGCTTTAAAATTGAATGCCAATTAGTAATTGGTCTTAAATTGATCTTATTTTAAAAAAAAATTAGCTGATTACACGTACTTACATCTAATAAAAATATAACTATACATAAAACTCTTTTGATTATGCAGACAAACCCATTTAGTAAATTTGAATGACTAATCATCAGAAAAGTTTATTTGCCTAAAAAATATGTTTATCAAATCGATCATAATTAAAGGATCTTAAACTTTTATAGATATATATAGACCTCATTTCGCAATGACTCTGAACAGGATTTAGGAATAATTGCACTTAAGCTATGGGATTTGGATCCCGTTGTTTTGCAGAAAATGATTTTCCAAAATTCATTAAATTTATGTTTAATAGGTATTAAACAATGTCTAACGAGGAGGTTTCGGTATAGTATATTACATGAAATTATAAAATAATACCATACGACACTAGCTTTTAAGATGAGAATCTTACAGTTTTGTCATATTTCTATTGTTATTCATATACATGTATATATGCTAGTTTTCAACGAGACTGTTTACATCGAACCGCACTTTGGCCATCGGTCTCATTTGTATAGAATATGTATTTTAATTTAAACTTATACACATCCAAAGAACAACGTTGGCCAAGTTTCTACTCATATCAAATTAAAAAGAAATGTCCCCAAACAAGGATCAAGAGAGCTACTACATTAACCGGTCACCGAGCATCATCGATGGCTATTATAATCACCTTACACACGTGACATTCTGCTGTTGGATACTCAGCTAAGATTTTCATTGAATATTTCATTGTGATTAAGTTTTTGTTGTGACTGTATTTATCGTACTTCCAACTTCAAACTATGAGAGATTTCTTTGCGAATTTTAAGGATGGATTCTTGTCAGCATTTTACGTCGTCAATGGGTCTCCATAGATTTTGAAAGTCGTAAAATGCAAATCACAGGACTGTTGAAGGTCACAAACATGCGAGATTTCAGACCCAAGTTGCCTCGATCGCCTAATGTCATGTCGGGTAACTGTGCAGTGAGATTGTACATGTAAGTTAGTTATGTATACGTATGTCTGACAATTTAATTCATAATTTTGAAATTGAATTACGTGGTTTTTACTGATAAATGGGAATTAGCAAGGATATTATAGATTGATGTATTCCCATAATTTCGTATGATGTTCCCGCGACTATTCAACACTTGAGGATTAAAATTTATCATTTCCGTGTGTTCGTCAGTTTTATGACTAATAATTATTCACAAAAATAGCATTTTTTGTATATAATTTCAACAAGTTACATTACTAACTAGCCTTATTTGTTAAAGACACAGCAATCATGAAGTTTTTAAAAAAGTAAGATGTTCCCTTGGGGTACAAATCAAAGTGAAAAATGAGTAGGCCTATATATTGTGTGGAAAAATCAATAACATTGAGACAAACAGTTGTCTAATTTATGAAGCAAAATGAAACACAATGGTTCATAAATTATTTATATATTATTGTATTTTTCTGTGTTTTTAGGTTTTAAATGTTTTTTTTTATAGTACAAATTTAAATAAGACATTATACACTCTTTTACAACGTGGTGTAAAAAATAAGATATATTTATTAAAAACTTCATTCATTTTTTTATCAATCAATAAATGAAATACAGATAAGATTGAATGTTTAATCTTATAACCAGTTTTTGCTAATTCAAAGACAGTTGTCTAAGAACTGTTCATATTTAATTCTTAGGAGCAAACAGCCCTACAGTACTTAATTTACCCAGGAGTAGACTACTTGTAGTTGAAAGTAGACTGAAGGCCAGACTTAGGCAGGGTGATTGAACAAATCTACTTGCAGATGGACCACTGAGGTACATAATTATAAGAAATATGAACACAACTGTATCTAACTATTATATAAATAGTGCATGTTTTTGAGGGCTACAATCCAAATTGACACCCGGAGGAAAACCATTGTCAACTGATACAAGGGATGTCAATTTTAAATATTACTGACTTAGTTCAAGGGCAACTTGCATTTTATCAGACCCAAGATCCAAAGTGTCTGCCTGAGACAGATACGCCAAAGGCAGACAATTTGGTTTGAGGATTGTCGAAATTTATTTGCTTGAGAACACAGTCAGTGGTTTAATTCATATCAATTGTTTTATGCCCGCTCAGCAAAACATTAGAAATGTATAATTTTGTATAGGAACAAATTTTAAAAGTATAACAAAAAGGATTGTTAGATGCATCTAAACTAATCAGATTTTAGTATTTAACTTGAAAGTAAAATATACTGTTACATGTAATGCAGCATTTTTACTGCTATGCATATATTTAATCCTTTTTTTTATTATTGTAGGCAAAAAAATTGGACTCTCAGAGGTGAACAGATGTTCAGCAAGAAATTCGCATGTCAAGTGAGTGGTGAACTAAAAAGATATTCTCATTTTTCAGCAAGTTAAGATTTTTCCACAAATTCATTAAAAATCATATCTGAGAAGCATTTAAACAAACAATATCAGATCAATATTCAAAAGAGAAAAGGTTCATAATTCTCCAAACTAAAATGCTATTCAAGTTATTGTTGTTTTTGATGATTTCAGATGCTGTGAATTACACTGATATCCCCCCCCCCAAAAAAAAGAAAAAAAGAACAGAGAGACCAATCATTAACAGCTTGAGACTTGGTGCACATAACCTTGCCACAAAAAAAGGGGATTTACCTATAAACACTCCCTAATGAAAGATTTTGTAAATTATTTGTTACACAGGAGAGATTTAAGATGTATTTCGTTTTTATTTAGCTACAAAAGTACAATTATTATAAGTTAACTTTCGAAAGGAAGTTGATGTATTTTTTTCTTGAAAGGAAAAGTATCAAATTTGTCTCATATATCTTTGATAGTCATTGAATGTACAGAAATACTGAAAATAACACTTATTTATTAAGAAATACGATATATTCAGAAATCATTGTAATACATATTTATTGTGTATTATTGTGTAAATTATTTTGTGGGATATATGTATAGCCTCAAAATCTAGATGCAGTGTATTGTATAAAATTGTATGAACAATTGGTGATTCTTTTACTAGTATGTTGCACCCTTGACAATTATTGTAATTATGTTGGCGCTGATAAATATTTATATACATGTCATATAGTTCATGTACAACATATAAAAAGATTCTATAATATACATGTAACATAAAGTTTTGGCCTATAACTCAGCAAAAATATACATGTAATCCGTTCCCGAACCTTTACTTTTTCTGTAAATAATGAAACCAGTATATTTTATAACAGAGGAAATTCGGACTGAACTTTTAAAAGATTTTTTTGAAACATGGCAATAATTTCAGCAATTATTTCCAAAAAAATACATCATATCACATTTTAGAGAAAATGTATTATCTAACCGCCTGTCCTGTCTCTTAAATTTTTAGCCTATATGATATATTTAAAGCATTTTCTTTTTTCAATGATAATTAATGTTTAAAATGAGGAAATTCGAGATAACTTGGCCATTTAATAAATATGAATACTCCTTTATTTTTTTGTTGTAAATGATTCATTCAACATCTATCTTTCCTATGGTTGTAAACATATTTTTTCCTGAATATATAATTTAAGTAAAAGAATTAAATGAAAAAGAATGATTGTCAAAGACTAAAATATCACTTTATAAAGAGTACAGAGGAAATTCGGAATAAATATTTTGTGTCATTTGTGATCAAAAGTTTGTTATTTTTTTTACTTTAGTACATTGCTTTAACATAAAAGTTAAGACTTAAATTGTTTTTTTCATATCTAAACATCTCCATTTTTCCAAAACATCAATTTCAAAATTTCTCAATTCCACAGGAGGAAAAATCTATTTTTAGCATCAAATTTTCAAATGACCTTCAAACAAAATCAAGGATGATGACCCCACATCTTTTTCTTGTTGTTTAATTGTGCATATCTTGAAATGTTTCCATGCATAATTGCATTATTTTCTGAATATATGAAATAGGAAAAGAATCCAGAATGTATTTTATAAAATTGTCAAACCTAACTTATTCATAATTGGAATAAAATGACAGAGGAAATTCGAAATAAATATTTTAAATATTATTTGTATAAACTATCAAAAATTGAAATGTATAAATGGAAGAATTGAATGTATATATGTGTCATAATTACACCAAATGGCCTGTCTCGGGGGTTTAAGAATCTTTCTTATAGATTTGATCACCACTCTGTAAAATGGAATATTTCAGAAACTGTTGAGTAAATTCGGGCTAAATTTGTTCTATAATTAGCATGAATACCATATATTTTCTCTCTTGTAAATTAATCTTCAACATTTGAATACTCATCTGACAAAAATCTAAATAGTTGACAATATATGATCAATTGTAAAAATTGAGATGAAATTTCATGTGAATTTATGAAAACTGAGAAATTAGAAAGAAATTATCGAGGAAATTCGGATTAAATGTTTTTATTGAATATTGAGGATCTCATGTTTTTATCCCCACCATCTCAATTCATGTAAGTTAGTGATCAAAAATAAGTTACAACTTTAATTTTATTGAGCAAGATATTTTTTTCTGTCAGCAAAATTTATTTCTATGCGTAAATTTCAAAATTTCTATTTGTAAAAGTACTATTTTTAGAACTGACTTTCAAACGACCTTGACCGAAAATCAATCAAGGCTGATAACACCGGTTCGTTTGGATGTTTAATAAGTGTACACAGTCTGAATATTTAGTATTCAGAAAATCAAGATTCTGTGAATATAAGAAATATGAGAAGAATCCATCCTTAATAGGGTTTGAAAATAAAATGACTTTTTTTGCATTTTTAAAAGTCAGATGACACGTTCCTAAAAAAATATATAATTTTTCATAAGAATTTGTCTTTGAAGTCTTGTTACTTAAACAAGTTTCGTAAAAAAAAATTAAGGTAACTTAAAGCTAACCAAGCATTTTGACAAGATACCACAAGTCATTTTCTTACATAACTCGAATATAACCCTTATGGGTAATCTTCTAAATGGCCTATATCACAATTTTATGTTTACTAATATTTAAAAACATTTTGAAAACGATAAAAAAATCAGAAAAGAATGACAAATCGGAATTTTGTTAATATGATACCAAGAGTTACAACACATAAATTTGAGAAATGTGTCGCCTGACCTTAATTACGTGTGTTTTGAAAGAATTATGGTATTAACATTGTTATTAGCAATTACATGTTCAGGCTTCTGTTGCCTATATATTATGGTCTTTAATAAGAGCATGTCATTTACCCCATCACTAAATATTAAAATCAGTTATGAATTTTGCACCCTAAAATCACATGATCTCTCTGTCTCTTCTTCTTTAAATTCGTAATGCTAAAAAATCACATTTGCTAACGTGTTTACAGATTACAATCGTGTGATTTAAATGTCTCCGTGTATTTGCAGATACCTCAGATTCAAAAGTTCAAATTTCAAATTTCCGGAATTTCATGATTTTGATATGTTTTCTTTGTGTGTAATTATAGTAATATATATGACAAAAAATTCAAGAGATAAATATTAAAAGCATATGCTGGCATATTGATTATATGTTAATATTAATATGTATATATATATATATATATATATATATATATATATATATATATATATATATATATATATATATATATATATATTCCCAACCACTTTTAGTGAAAACTTGAAAAATTAAAAAAAAAAGTTTAATTAACGTTTATTTCTTAAAAACTACATACAATGTTATGGATACTATACTTCAAATGTTCTTATTTCATTTTCATGAAGGATAAAAGCAGCGGATTTATATATACGAATAAATTGATTTTAGGGAGTTGGGGGAGGGGTTAAAATTCGCAGGTACTTGGGTCTTTGTTTATAATTTTATTTATACCCTAATCGATACGTTAAGAGGCTGCCCCCCCCCCCAACTTTTTTCCCACCAATATTTTTACTGTTGGAAATGTTCAGTGAAGACTGGTTGTCCCTCCCCTCCCCTTAATACTACAGAAAATTCATAT